CTCACTTGGTAGCCCAGGCTGGCCTCGAACTCACAGAGATCCGCCTGCCTCTGCCTCCCGAGTGCTGGGATTAAAGGCGTGCGCCACCACCGCCCGGCAAATTAAATATTTTTGAAAGACTAAAGTAGATTAAAAATAAGAACACATTTAAGCAGACACAGCACACAGTAGGTGTTCCAATAAAACATGTATAGGAAACACAAAATCTTAGTGGATAGACTATATGGCTGGAGACCTAAAGCTGGACTCCTGACTCTTATCTCTGTTCTAATGAGTTGTGTGACATGAGATACACCCCCCTGGGCTCAGTGTCCTTGCATGTGAGTTCCGTGGACACTCTAGTTCCCTTTCTGCTCACATCATGGGGATACTGTAAGAGCAAATAATTACAGTATGGGTTTTTTGTTTGTTTGTTTGTTTTGACAGGGTTTCTTTCTATGTGTAACCGCCCTGGCTGTCCTTGAACTCGCTGTGTAGACCAGGCTGGCCTCCAACTCACAGAGCTCCGCCTGCCTCTGCCTCCCGAGTGCTGGGATTAAAGGCTTGCGCCATCACCCGACTGATATGTCTGGCTTTAAAAGGTCATTCCCGTAGACAAATTGCTCTGAAATTTGTCTGGAACCCTTGGAGTTCTTTTTGACCTTGGGCCATCTTGTACATGAACATCGTGTACAACCCCGGGGAAAAGCGAACAGAGCGGTCTCTGCTCTCTAAATGAGTTAACGGGAAACAAGACCAGTGCAGTAGCAATCACGCCGGGCGGGCCAGGAGGATGCGCGCGCATAGCTCACTGAGCACCAGTCTAGAGGCACAGCTTGGAGGCCCTGACTCTTCCTCCACAGGGAAGTCAGGACTGTCTGTGCTGGAGGAGGGCTGTTTGTCATGAAGGGGGCCTCCAGGGGAAAGTTAGTCTCTCAGATGGGAGAGGCCTGTTCCATCTGACTCTTAGGAAGTAAGTTTTCTCCTGAAAACCCCAGATCTTTGTCACTTATCTTCCTGCTTGAGAATCCCTTCCAATCTGTGATTCTGAGAGCCACGGCGGGCATCTGCGGCCCGTGTCAGTTACGGCGTCACCAGGACGGCTCCGGGGGGTTAATTGCATCTAAGCGTTGGAAAGCGACTCTCTAATTAAACTTTGAGACGGAATGGCAGAATCACTGGGTGACAGACTGTCTGTGGGAGGGTCCCCTGAGGTGCTCTTCATTTTCGCTCATCATCTTCTGGGCCCAGGCTGTGCCTGTGTGTGGTGGGGCCGGTGTTTAGACCTCACTCTCGAGAACTCTGGATTCCGTTGGAGGTTTGTCAGACAGGCCCCCCGCGGTGCTCGGTGCCCTGCCTGAACCCCACAGTTGGGCCTGGATATCTTGGAAGACTTTCCTTGCTTGTCTTCGGCTCTCTGATTTCTATTTAAAACCAAAAGGTTATTGCTATACTTAGAACCATGACATCAAAGAAATTTGAGTGTTGGAAGTTAGTTCTGGGTATTTGTGAGTATTGCCCAGGGAACCCGAGTTTGAGACCATTGGCACCGGCTGTCCAGTTCCCTCACACTGAAACCCCCGGGTTCGTTCACCACCCCAAGCTAGGTCCCTGCCAGACACTTTTTGGGGGGTGCCAGGCGAATCTACATAGCACCGGGCCGTGAGGCTCCCCGCAGAGCAGCCAGGTAGGTCAACGGATACCTCACAACATCCGGAACCATCCTGTTTGCTTCGTACCCCGCTTTCCATTGCATGGGTGAGAAAATGGAGGCGACTCCTGACGAAGCGGCTTCCTGAGCCCCTGGAAGCCAGGCTTCCCCATGTTAGAGCCTGTGCTTTTTTTTGTTTGTTTGTTTGTTTGTTTGTCTTTAATCCACCGTGAGCATCAGTCTATGCTGGCTGCCATAGAGACCTGGAGAAGATGGGGTTCATTTCTGTTGGGGGCGAAGCTCCCAGAGGGGATAGTGTTCCGGGGTTTGGAAAGGCAAGGGCTATTGCTCTCCCATGGCTGCCGCCAAGTGCAGAAGAAGCATCTTAAGGGAGGCAGGCTTAACTTTGGCCTACAGTGTGAGGGGACGCCTTGCATCGTGGTGGGGAAGGCAGCAGGAGCCTGGGAATGCTGGTGCTCAGGCCTCTTTCTCTTTTTATGCAGTCTGAGACTCCCTCCACTCCACCCCCGACCCACCCCACCCACCGCTCATGGAGTGGTGCTGTCTGTCTTTAGGGCAGGTCTCCCCACCTCAATTAATTTGATCTAAAAAAATAAGTACCTTGCAGACATGCCCAGAGGTTTGCCTCCTCGGCAACTGTAGATCCTATCGAGTTGACAGTCAATATCAACGACCCGTGAGGGCAGGCAAGAGGAAGTACAGAGAACAGGAAGTGGAATTTGACTTTGGGGACCAGGAGGTTAGTAGGAAGGACTTATCATTTTTCATTTCTTTCTTTTTTTTTTCTTTTTCTTTTTCTTTTCCTTTTTTTCCGAGACAGGGTTTCTCTGTGTAGCTTTGTGCCTTTCCTGGAACTCACTCTGTAGCCCAGGCTGGCCTCAAACTCACAGAGATCCACTACTGCCTGGCTCATTTTTCATTTCTTAAAATTTTTTTTTTCTGCGTGGTGGTGCATGCCTTTAATCCCAGCATGCGGGAGGCAGAGGCAGGCGGATCTCTATGAGTTCAAGGCCAGTCTGGGCTACAGTGTGAGTTCCAGGAAAGGTACCAAAGCTACATAGAGAAATCCTGTCTCCAAAAACAAACAAACAAAAAATTCTTGTTACATTTGTTTCTTTATTGTGCTTACGTGGGAGCATGACTGTGTGCCACGTCGTACATGTGGCGGTCAGAGGACAACGTGATGGATTAGATTCTCTTCTACCATTTGGGTCCCAGGGTTTGCACTCCGCTCATCAAGCTTAGTGGTCAGTGCAATTATGGGGGAATGAAGATTAAGATATCCACTGAGCCATCACCCTGCCCCATTATTTTTATTTTTTTCATTTTGAAAGGATTCCTTTACCCTGCAATAACTGTTTATCAAAGACTGTATTAGTTACTTCTCTCTTGCTGTGATAAAACACCATGATCAGAAGCAGCTTCAGGAAGAAAGAGTTGATTTTTGCCTGTGGTTCCGGAGGGTAAATCCATCATGGATAGGCTGGCATGTCAGCAGGCCACCAAGAGGAAAGCTGGCTGATCCCATTTCATCACCCAGGGAGCCAGAGAGCGAACTGGAAGAGGGATGAGACTATACACTCTCCAAGCCCCCCTCCTCCCAGTGACACGCTTCCTCCAGCCAGGCTCCACATCCCAAAGGTCCTATAACCTTCCCAAACAACGCCACCAACAGGGCACCAAGAGATCAAATTCACGATCCTGTGGGGACCTGTCTCTTCCACGTTACAAGCACCCATCATGTATCAGGGGCTGGAGCTGAGCAAGGGGGACAAGGAGATTGTTTCTGTAGTCTAGAAGGATGGAAGGCGTCCTCTCAACGAGCAAGAGGAACTCAGATCCGGTTGAGGACAGTCACGGTGTGGCAGAGGATGACAAAGCAGGTGACTGGGGGCGGAAGCTTGTAGACCCTTGAGCAAGGCCAGGGGGAGCTCTTTCTGAGTGGGGAGGTTTGGAGGCAGCCTGAGGTGCAGCTTCGCTCCGTGGACTCTTTTGTCTTAATCTCCACAACCCATAATTGCCTCGTTGAGACGTGAATACATGTCCTTCGCCGAAGTCACTCAGGGTGTCTGAAGAGCCACCCCAGAAGTATCACAGAATTGCTTTATCCAGTGACTATTGGGTATCTAGCTCGTTACCCTGCTCAGTGCCACTCACGCAGATGTCCCTCTGACAAATGCATCCCAGGGCACCGGGCCAAGAAAAACTGGTTCTCCTGACATCCATTTGGATCCCAGCTCCAGAGAGTAAGGACGGCATGGCCAGCTGTCCTTGCCTGCAGACTCTGGGGGTGGGGGAGGAAGTTCAGAGATGGCGGTGGGTTGTGATTCTGGGGCATTACCTGGAGGACAGTGTCATTGCCCTCCCAGCTTGATCTAAGTGAACCTTAGTGTGTGTGTGTGTGTGTGTGTGTGTGTTTTAATTGTAAGCTATTCTTTTGGAAAAAGAAAGTCAGAGGAGGGGAGAGATTTAGTCAATCAATATGTGGTTTAGAACAGCCGATGGCAGCGCTAAATAGTTTGTCCCTGCCTCTCAAATGCCATTTGCCAAACTCTGTCCTGTGACACACAAAGCCTCTAGGAGATGCTCACGAGTGTTCCAAAGGTGGAAAAATATATAGCATTAATGATAGACCATAAGAGGCGGGACAGCGGAACAGGGACATGGGCTCTGGAGCCACAGCCCCTGGGTCCCATTTAATCCTAGAAATGACCTGATCTGCCTGTGTGCGCATGTGCATGCATGTGTGTGCATTTATGCATGTGTGTATGGGTGTACGCTCATGTGAGTGAGTGTGCACCAATGTGTGTGGAGAGGCCAGAGGATAACCTTGCCTGTCATTCTCAGGAGCTGTCCATCTTGTTTATTTATTTATTTATTTATTTATTTATTTATTTATTTATTTATTTATTTTTGTTTTTGTTTGTTTTGGAGACAGTCTCTCATTGGCCTGGAACTTTCCTAGTTGACTAGGCTGGTCAGCAAGCTCCAGGAATCCCCCTGTCGCACCTCCCCTCCCCAGGAGTACAAGCGCACACTGCCACGCCCTGCTTTTTACATGAGTGCTGAGGATTGAACTCAGGTCCTCAAGGTTGCAAGGCAGGCACTTTGCTGACCGAGCCACCCTCCCCGCATGCCTGCTTGGTCTCTGTAATGGGTCTCTTGTACAGAAAATGCCCCTGGTTGTAGGAACTGCCTCTGGGGCTGAGGATGGTGGTGGGGAGACGGGAGCCTACAGCCCGGAGGAGGGTCTCTTCTCACATGTAATTGTCTGTTTGGGACAGGGTCTCCCGAACCTGATGACAGCGGTTGGAAGTCACATGGAAGATCACCTTCTGTAGGAAGTATGACAGTCGGCAACAGGCTCTGCGGTTCTCCTACCCATTGCCAGGCTGTGGGCCTCCTGGTTGACAATTGCCTATCTTTGTTACGCCTTTCATCTCGTAATTTTAACATTTATTGGTGCAATTACTCAATGTTTACTTTTTATTAAGCATATGGATCAAATTTTGATCACTTCTCACCGCAATTAATTCTACTACGAGGCTATATTTTTTTGCCGTCTCCTTCCATTTAAGTGACACCGTGTGGGCCTCCGTTGGCACCCTGACAAAACAGTGTCATTTAAATAACACATCGTGGCCAAACAAGTTTGGGAACTGCTTCCTGGAATTATGGTTTCGTTTCGCGTGACCCCTGTGAGCAGGACGGCACCAGCCAGCTGACTTCTCTGAAGTACCGCCACCCTTTCTGTGAGAATGAGATCCTGCAAACCACGGTGGGATTGTGGTTTTGTTTTGAGTGTTACTGGGCTGAAGAGGAAACAGCCACCGGCTAGAAGCTCTCTGTGAGATGGTTTAGGTGGAGAGGCCAGTAAACTCCAGTGTTCTGGTGCTTCTCACACTTCCATCCCAGCTGCCCAGCTTCGCCTACAGGAGCCATGGGCTGGGGCAGAAAAGACAAAGAAAGAACGGAGATAAACCTCCATTTTTCCCTTTTCTGCCTCAAGTTCCCTTTTTTCCCCTTTCCCCATTAACCACCCCACCCCACTCCCCCCCCCATCCCCCGTCTCGGTTATTACAACACCACAAAGGGAAGCAAATCTCCACCCTGACTGTTGACAGATCCCCAACCACCCAACAGCTATTTTTATGTCTACAGACAGAAACAGGGGGCCCAATCCACATACCAGAAGGGAGCCGTGGACATGGACACTTTAAGACCAATAGAGGGAGGAAGAAAATCGCCAGGGTGGTATTCAAACCCAGTAGAAACGCCTGGCACCTCCCCTACCCAGAATCATCAACCTTTCCTCTGCCGGAGGGGTCAATGCACTTGCCAATAGACACTTAGACTTTGCACTGGGATGTTCTCCCATCTTCCAGATCTTTAACCAACAGAGAAGAAGCCCACCCGCTAGCCAGCATCCCTGCTAATGTCCCACAAGCTATAAAGCAAGTCTCACAACTGGGACAAAAATCCCAAGGAGGCAGAAGGGATATATATTCTGCCCTCATGGGGCCTGCGATGGCTCCTCCGCATTGTTAACTTGATGGTATTCAGAGTCACCATGGAAATACAACTATATATGTGGCCACGAGGGCATTTCCAGAGAGCTGGAAAGGAAAGGGCATGGTGAGCCCCCAGCCTGGGGTCCTAGACTACATACAAAGGAGAGAGCAGGCTGAACACCACCAGCCCGCCCGTGGGCACGCGTGACCAGCTGCCTCTAGCTCCGCCCACCATGGCTTTCCAGCCATGATGTACTGAACCGGAACAAATCTTTCCCTCTTCAGGTGCTTCTCTCAGGCATTTTGTTACAGTAACACAGGTGGAAACTGACACGGGGCCAAGGAAGGTTCCTGGGACTCAAGGGCAAGGCGGCTGTGTCCCTGTGCATCTGGTGAGACAGTGTTACCTGAGCGGGAGCGGTACAGGAGTTGGTGATCCCATCTCAAAACAGGAAGCCAGAGAAGAAATCAGGGATCAAACTCCGGCTTCTGTAACAAGGGGCTCTTTCGGGAGTATCTCCTGAGCGGGTCCTTAATCCCTTCTGAGACGGGCCTCCTGTGATAGAAGGATCTCGCTTAGGCTTCATCGCTGAAGATTCTCATGCCTCATATCACCACAACGGGGACCAGACTTCCAAGACTTGAGCCCCTGAGAGACATTGCATCCAGGCTGCAGCACAGAGGAAATACCTAATCCTTTGCTTGCTTTACGGTTGGGGTTCTAGATATGGTGTTAGGTCATCGTTCACCAAACAAATCACACACACACACACACACACACACACACACACACACACACACACCCTGAACATTTGTGAACTACAAATCCCAAGCTCCTTTGTAGTTAAGGGATGCCATATGTCTGAGTTCTGACCAATGGGATGTAGGAAAAAATGATGTACAGGATGCCCTTCCTACATGGCCATGGAAACCCGTCCTACAATCCGATCCCCCAGACTTTTTTTCTTCATTCACCTGCGAGTTGATGGAGCCGTGGGGGTGGCTGAATGAATGCACAAACCAGAGTGACCTCACCCATGTTGGATGGGGGTATGCTGTTGCAGGAGGCCACTGCGATTGGAGAGTTTTGCCTAGCAAGATGGCAACTCTGACCTCAGCAACCACTTCCCTGCTGTGAGGGCAGACTCCGCTGCAGACCAGTGGAGCCACATTAGGCTCAGGTCTCTGTGGGAGAGGACAGTGGCATCCGGTGGAAAGTCAGGCATGTGGCAGAGAGGAGGTAGCCTTCCTGATGGAAGGCAGGGTGTGTGTGTGTGTGGTCTGGTGAAATCCCTAGGCACACTTGCTAAAGGCAGCAGAGAGGGGCTGAGAAATGGGGGTCCCATAGAAGACTCCAGATGGTGTCAGCGTCCTCAGCGGCCATAGAAAGGTGACTTGTGGAAGAGGAATGGAGGCCAAAGTCAGGATCTATGCTGGGCTCAGGTCACAGTGGCAGAAGAGGAAAAGGATTCAGGCCCAGTACAGATACAAACCCCTTGGGGGAGCTCCTTGCTGCTGGGTCAGGATGTGAGCGAGAATGAAGTAGAGTACCCTGCTTCATAAAGCAGAGACCTACTGATGCCCTGAAGAAGGAAGGGGGTGCTCTTCTTTTTTCCTTCATCTTTCTGCAAACACGATCATCGAACAGGCACCTCCGGTGTGCCTAGGCCCGAGCTGGGGGTGGGAGGGGTGGGAGGGGCACCCACCCTGCCCGATGTCTCTACCTTAAAGTAGAGCTCAACAGAGGGAGGGGAGAGGTGGGAGCAGACGAGAGTCTGGAGCCTGAGCAGGTGGCTGTGATCACAGTAGCTGCCCAGAACCGGAAGTGAACCCCCCCTCCTCAGCCAGTCAGAGGAAAGCTGCGCTTTGCTCATTCCACAGTGAATGAATGCCTCATTGTCCCTCTTCCTCTGGGAAGGACAATGTCGTGGCATGGTCCCTTTATGTTCAGGGGCCAGCAGGCTCTTAGCAGATGTTAAATGCAGTAACACCCACACGCTTTGGCAGCTTTGGTGCTGCTGGTAAGGGTGCACGTGTACACACACACACACACACACACACACACACACACACACACACACACACCACAGAGCCGTGAGGTCTGGCAGATGCAATTAGCCTCTGGGTCCCTCAGAATTAGATGCAGGTGGCTAATTGTCCATGCCAGGAGGCAACTGTGGGCACAATTAGTCATGTCTCTTTCCCCACTTGGGGCTAATGTTGGGGGGATGGTGATGAGGGATGGAGTCTGAGAAGTCCAATTCCCCCTCAGCCATGGGCTGTGATGGGTGACTTTGGGTGGGGCTGTTCATCCTATGGGCTTGGAGGACGTTGTGGGAGTGGTCAAGGGCAGGGGGCAGAGGAGGGAGGGTGGCGGCTGTTTTGAGAAGTCTCTGCATTTGCCTCCTCACCCTGTCAGCACACTGGAATCTAGATACTTACGCAGGACTTCACTTGTCCTCAAAGCCCTATGGCCTGCATCATAGCTTCAAAACCACTCACTTAGCAGGAGGTGTATTCATTGCATCCGTTCTCATGGGGGCAGAATGGCGGAAACCAAGTAACCAAGTATGCTCATGACCAGGCCCTGGGTTGCTTTTATGTTCCTTCCTATAGCTTTTTCTTTTTCTCTCTCTTTTTAAATTTTATTTTATTTGTATTTATTTATTTTGTTTTTATGAGACAGGTTCTCACTATGTAACCCTGGCTATCCTGGAACTCACTATGTAGACCAGGCTGGCCTCAAACTCACAGACATCTGCCTACCTCTGCCTCCCGGGTGCTGGGATTAAAGGTGTGCACCACCAAGCCCAGCTCCTATGCCTTTTTCTTGTCCTTCTTGTCCATGCTGTCTTATCAGGCAGAGGGTTGACTCCCAGGGACTAGACATTGGCTTAGAACAGAGGAGGCCTGGGAAATTCTCAGTGTAAAATTAGCATTAGATGCCAAGAGCTGAAGGTCTGCCCTGGCCTGCAAAAGCTCTGGGCAAAAGGTCCAGGGATGCCAGAGGGAACCTTGAATTTATGGTCAGTTCAGAAGACATGGGTGTACAGCGCCCATTGTATGAGAGAGATGATGATGGACACTCTGGCGCTTTCCTGAAGTTCAGTGACTCACTGAGTGTTGCCTGGCTGTGCCTCAGTTTCCCGAGTTGTTGGAGTGGAGTGTTGAGTCTCTGCAATGGCTTGGGTCTACCCAGGTCTTTCTGACAGTTGTCACCAGAGCTGAGGAGTTCGGGAGGGGGACAGCCCCTGAGTAGGAGAGGGAAGCTGGAGGTAGCACACTTGGAAGGTATTTGAGGCTAGCTTGGCGGGTAGGATGGAAGTGTGTGTGAGGAGGGCAGAGCAGGCGGTGCCATGGTGTAGGCTGGCCTCCATATTGTCTGGGATTGCAAGTGACTAAGCATCACGGGGAGTGCACTGAGCGGCCCACTGTAGCGTCCACAGAGGATTCCCAATGTATCACACCTCTGATGTTCACAGATCAGAGAAGCTGACTCCCGGTGACCCATGGATGCTGCCTTCCTTCCTTCAGGACCAGGCCTGGGCTGTGCAGCTTCCGTCTTCCTTTGCAAAGCCAGGCACTGTGGAAGAAGTCCAGCCATTTTGAGGCCTCCACGTTCCTGTAGGCTGCCTGTAGAGGGATGTTTTACTAGGCCCCATCCGGTCCAGCTAGGCTAACCCCACCAGCAGACGTGTCTGTGTGGATAGCATCATGCAAACCCACTCAGTGGACAGTGGAACACAGTGGCATCAGAGGCTCCAAGCAAGAACCACATTGCTAGGAAAACAATAAAAAGAAATAAACCCCCTCCCTGAGTTGATCAGCCTGTAAGTAGACCCATGAAGATAATAATTGTTGCCTGTTTTTTTATGTGTGTGTTCATATGTGTGCAGGTGCACACATGTGCCAGTGCATCTAGAAATCTGGGGTTGGCATAAACAGTGTTTCCCAATCATTCTGTACCTTATTTACGAATGCAGAGCATCTCACTGAACCCTGAGTTATGGTTAGTCTAGCTAGCCATCTTGCTCTGGGCTTTCACTAATCTCCACTTTCAAGGCCTGGAACTACAGGTAGGCTGCCATGCCCACCCAGCACCCACCCATCCATTCACCATCCATTATCCCATCCATCTACCTGCCCATTCACAGTTCACCCATCCATCCATCACCCATCTACCCATCCATCATCCTATCCATTCATTATCCTTCCATCCACCCATCCATCCATCCATCAATCCATCCTTTCACTCATTCATCCACCATCCATCCATCTATCCATCCATCCATCTATTCATTTATCCACCCACCCATCCATCCATTAATCTGTCCATTCACCCATCCATCCATCCATCCATCCATCCATCCACCCATCCATCCATCCATCCATCTACCCATCCATCCATCCATCCATCCATCCATCATCTATCCATCTCCTATCCATCCATTCATTCATTCATTCATCTATTCATCCACCCATCCATTCACCAACCCATCTATCCATCAATTCATCCACCAACCCATCCATCCATCATCCACTAATCCATTCATCCATCCACCCATCCATCATCCTTTCATCCATTCATCCACCCATCCACCTATTCATTCATCTGTTCTTCCATTGAGCCATCTACCCATTGTTCTATGCATCTAATGAACCACTCAACAGGTTCTATCCATAACAACATCAGTGAGAGAAAAACTCCAATGTCTGGAAAAGGCCTAGAGGAAAATCCTCAGAGCAAGGAAAAGGTTAAAATAAATCAAAATAAAATTGGAGCTGGCTGTGTGGCTTATTCTTAATGACACATGGAAGCAATAAAGCAGCTATGCTATGTAATGGACCACTGAGGATTTTTCGCTCTCAGTCAGTCCGAGATGTACCGAATCCAATATCCTATCAGTGATTTGATTTGTTAATAATCAAATTGCAAATACCTTTTCATTTGGCTTCAAAAAGCAAACAGCCATTCGGAATAATTTTTATGGGTCTTGGAATGCAAAACAAACTTAAAATATTGTGTTTGCAAGTCCTACTGGCATGACCGTATTATAATTTATATTGGCCTATTTTGATGTACAGTGGCGTAATGAAACTTTAAAAAATATATTCTGCAAAGCTGCATCTAAGCCCAAGCCGGCAGCACAGATTAATGTAAGAACATCATGGGGATTCTTTGCATATTTTGTACAGAAATTTCTAGAGAATGACTGTTCACCAAAACTTCAATGTTGTGGGATCTGCAGAATCTTTCAGATTTATCTCTTGTCACCTTGCCTGGCCCTCTGTCTGAGTCTTTCTCTAGCCCTCTTCTTCTACCCCCAATCCCCCAGCCCCCGAATTCCACCATCCCATGTTCTGAACGTGCTATGTGTACACATGTCTGTATTCAGTTTTCTGTTTCCTCTGGCTGTGATATCCTTCCATTCCTCTCCGCTTGGACAGAATCTTTCAGACATTTTCCAGCTTCCAGCTCAAATGCCATCCCTGTTGGGACCAAACTCTGACACTCCCGGATGTCATCACATCCTCTCTTCCACAGAAATTTGAAAGGAACTCCATGATAGCTTTTGTCACAGTGTGCTATTATTTGTTTATGCTCACGAGACTGATTTTCTTGACAAAGAAAATATGCTAAGATATGCTCAGTTCCGAAGCCTCAGCACTGTGGTTAGGACACAGATGTTCCCCTATAGAGGTTAGTGCTGTGGGCGGATGGATAAGTTGGTGATGGATGGATAAGTGGACTTGGGTGGTCTTGGGTAATGAAGCACTGGATGGATGGAAGGAGGGATGAGTGTGCAGGATATGCTGGATGAGTAAATGAAAGGATGAGTGGGTTGCCAATGGGTGGGTGGGCAGATGGATGGATGAGTGAATGGAGGGTGGGATGGAGGAAAGATTGAAAGAACAGATCCTTTTGAACATGATAATCTTTCTGAAACTGGAAGCATTAAAACACAAGCAATAGAGAGGCCTTGGAACATAAGGCCAAGGCCTTATGAGTTGTTAGATGAGCTAATCTGTTATCTTTTTTCAGCTATGGAGTCCCTCCTACTATGTTCCTGTAGAGTATGTCTCAGCGCAAATATTGTGTAGCAGAGGCTGACTGCCATCTGAGCTTTCCATAGGGGCCAGGAAGTCCCTTGCTGATAAAATAACATTGAAACAGAATTCTAGGGGACGAACTTAACAGACATGGGCATATGGTGGAGGGTGGGATAGGGGGACGACAATGTACCTGAGATGAAGGCATGCTTGGACTGTCCAGAAACAGCTAAGGGACCCATGTGGCTGGAGCAGAGGAGTGGCTGAGACTGTCCACCTCATAGCTTCCATATTTTCTATCTCTCTTAGAAGAGTTTGCAGACTCGGCCCTTAATCAGAACTTTACTATTAGACCTTAGGTTTAACTAGAATCTATTGTGCATGCATGATGGTGGACCACTGTTTCCAACTTGGTTGGATTGAGAACCACCTAGCAGATTAGGAAAGCACATGCCTGGGTGGATCTATGAGGATGTTTCAATTGGATCAACTAATCCTCTGATGAAGTGAAAATCTGAGAGCATACTATGAGAGGTAGAGCCTGATTGGAGGAAATTGCTCACTTTGGGCGTGTATTTAGGGGACTGTATCTTACCCTACCCCTTTCTGTTACTGTCCATCCTGCTTTCTCTACCATGTACTCCCTCCACGATCATTTTCTGCCTCTCCACACACAGGTCCAGAGTCTATGGAGCAAGGACTGTGGATGGAAATCTCTAAAACCATGAACTAAAATAAGAAATTCTCCTCGAGTTGTGCATCTCAGGTATTTGTCCCTGGGGTGAAAACAACAGACAAAATATGCAGTAAGGCTCGAGGATTATTTCTAATGGAGAAAGAGTTGTCCCAAGCATACTTACTGGGTAGATAGAGTATGCGGCCATTTCACCAAGCATCACCAAGTCCGCTGCAAAATTACCACACACAAGAGTCATGTCTGTTGATCCAAGTCCCTTAACCACGAGCATTTAAGTATAGAAACACAAGCCTTTCTATAGCGGAGCACAGCTTCTAAGAACAGTTTAGTATTGTTCAAACATGACACACACATTTCTCTTGGTATCTATTTCTGCATGTTTGTCCATGTGGTTGTTACAGTTGCTTGGCTTCTGGTGAGTATAACATTTTTCTCTATTGTATTTTCTAATTGGTCATTGTATGTATAAGAAAGCTGTGTGTGCATGTTTCAGTGTGTGTATGTGTGTGTATATGTATACGTGGTATGTGTATATATGTATGTGCTTGTAAGTGTATGTGTGTGCGAATGTATGAGTATTCCAACCACTTCATGGGTATCTTTTATTCCTATTTTTTTTTCCAGTAGGAAATCAAATGGTCACATCACTTACACTTAATGGAATTTTAATTAACTTCTTTCGTACACTGGTTGTCTTTTGCTCCTCCTCTGGTTCCTCCTTATGTCGTGGCTAGGACAGGCAGTGTTGCAGTTTGAACCTGAGCTGTACCCAAGGGCTCATGTATCAGTGACTCTGCTGCCAGCTGATGGGCTTGTTGGAAGTGACTAGATAGTAAGAGGTCAGGTTCCTCAGTGGATGGACCCATTGGCAGAGACGTAAATGGAGGGCATTCCTGAGAGATGGTGCAAGGCTTGGTCGGAGGGGTTGGGTCTCTAGGGGTACCTTTGAAGGACACAGCTTGTTCCTGACTTCTCTAGGCCTGTGTGTCTCCTGGCCGCCATGAGGTGAGAAGCTTTGCTTTCTCCTGTGCTCCTTGCCGCAATGTTCTTCCCTGTGGAGGCAGCCAACCATGAACTGAAACCTCGATGTTATGAGCAGCAATCTATCTTCCCCCTTTATGTTTTCCTCTGATGCCGGCCACGTGATGGAGCACTTCCAACATGGACAGTCACATCTGACCAATGAAGAGGAAAGCATGTGTTCTTGCAGCCCCTGCTTTCACCGGGGGCGCTGTTCATGGCTTGCTGTAGGAAATAGTGTCAATGGCCACTTCCGGTGACAGCTGCATTAGCATAAAGTTAGGGCAGAAGACTACACAAGATGACTAGAAACTCCAAAGCATATACTGGCCTGGATGAAAGCTAATTTCTGTGTAAGAGTTCACACTGGCCCGGCAGTGGTGGTGCACTGCTGGGTGGTGGTGGTGGCGGCAGCGGCGGCGGCGGCGGCGGCGGCGGCGGCAGCAGCAGCAGCAGCAGCAGCGGCGGCGGTGCACACCTTTAATCCAAGCACTTGGAAGGCACAGCCAGGAAGATCTCTGTGAGTTTGAGGCCAGCCTGGTCTACAGAGCGAGTTCCAGGACAGGCACCCAAACTACACAGAGAAACCCTGTCTCGAAAACAAAACAAAACAAAACAAAAAACAAAACAAAACAAACAAAAAAGAAAAAAGAAAAAAGAAAATG